CTGTTTAATTTATCTGGAATTAAAGTATATATTTTTTTTAAAGTTCATAGTTTAAAAAAACCTAAAACAAACAAACAAAAAAAACCCCGCCCTAACTGCCAAATTCAATGGTTACATCCTAGTCCCAATTTCTCAGACCCTTCTTCGTGACATACTCCCTTGGCTCTTCTCTCTCTCAGTTTCATGACACTACTTTCCTGATTCTCTTCCTACTCCCGGGCTGCTTATTTCTCATTCTCCTTCCTGGGCTTTTTTCTCGAGCTACCCTTAAACATTGGTGTTCCACAGAAATTCTGTTCTTGCACCTTTTCTTGTCTCATCTAAGTACTGTGTCTCCCTACCTGGTCACTCTCATCTAAATCCATAGTTTTCACTAACACCTATCTTTACCATTACCTTGACAATCTGTCCAGATCTCTGTCCTTACACCAGTACTCTATATAGTGTATTGCCTGACACTTCTGGATGCCCCACAGGGATCTCGAAATCATCAATCATCATCTAAACAGAATCGTAATTTTACCCTCCTCTCCCCCAATCAGTTATTTCTTTTGTGTTCCCCGTCTTATCAAGAGGCATTCTAAGTGCCTCTTTCTCCCCATTTGTCCCTAACTTACCTTTAAGTCTTATTGATTGTACATCATATGTTCACTTACCTAAGACAGCAAAGTATGCACTAGATGAAATTAATATCAAATTTTTTTATTAGTACTCCATTAATCCAAAAGCTATATACTTTCATTTTTGGAAAGGCAGAGCACAAGAGAGCTGTCTATAATTTGGAAAACAGATATAACATGTTTTAGACATTGTAATCAATGCTTGGCAGAACTACTTTACTAACACACTCGAGATTAAAGCAAGTTATCAGGTTTTTTTCTTGCATTATTTTTAAAGGTAAAATTAATGAGCTTAGAGTGATATGAGGCATATGTACACAAACGCATAGTGGGAACAAAAGGAACATCATACAGCGTGGTGTCTGAATAATCAAACATTCTATTTAGTAGAGGGCTATCAACATCACACTAATTATCAATTTTCAAAATAAAAAAAATGTAACAAATTAAACTGGATGAAAAATCTGATATTTCATTATCTTTCTGAGGATCATTATGGACACCAATTATCCCTCTGACTCGTCAAGATGTACTGGTCACATTTCCTGGAGATTTAATAATAGAAGGCTGCACATATACTTGAGAGTAGACTGCTTTGTGTTTCATTAATGTTATTCTGACAGTACCTAAAATACTATATACGTCACTTCTTATCAAAATAACCCCCTCTGTTCAACAATTATCACTATCTGAATAAAGTCTCAAACAGCTAATATTCACTTTTTCTTAAAACATTCCATCTAAGGAAAATTTTTAAAAAGAGATACTGTTTTTTTTAAAAGAAAAAAAGCAATCTAGGTTCTAGATACCTACTATGGTGGAAACATCATAGGGCAAAGCAGCAAGAAGAAAAAAGAGGAGGATTAGCAAGCTGTGTCAAAAGACAGCACCAGCTCTCCTCTGGGCGCCCACAGCCCACCAAAGGAGATTCCCAGCAAGCAGGCTTCTGCTCTGTAATCCTGTCCCCAGTCACGTATGGTCAGACCCATGTGGGAAATATGAACCAAGATGAACATTCTTTTGTCGAGAATGTAGAGGAGAGAAAGGAAGGGAAAAAGAGAGATATGCACTGACTGTGCATGACTGGACCTGGAACATATCAAAGAGCAACTGTGGGAACCAACTTCTGTCTGCTATGCAGGCTGAGGATCAGAGAAAGCCAGTCAACTGAG